CTCAAAAATTGGTGTTTGTTTTTCCTTACAACCCGCCATCTTGGCACCGACCGAATAGTGGGGATGGAGCAACAAGTCCTTCAGACTCCCAACAAATTCCAAAACAATCCCAAAGCTATCCCCCTAAAAAAAAGACAGCAAAAATCCCCCAATCACTAATTCTAGCAAGAAACAAAAGTGATAATTACCTTGAACAAATGCTCGGTGCACTCGAACATGGGTGTACTCATGACGGCAGTGGACATATTGCCGATTAAAATCACCAGCTAAACACAACAGTTAACCACCAACAAGAACAAAAAAAAAAAAGAAAAATAAAACAAATTGAAATTGTCCTCACTTCCTTTGTCCCGTGGCAATATCACAGCGTGACGTGTTTATGACTCACTGAGATCAAAGGTTAAACGTCGACAAACGGTGAATTAAAAATAATAATAATTGAAGCAATTATTAAACACAAACTCGAGTAAAACTGCCACTATCGTTGAGTATTGTCGACCATTTGTTTGTCATCAGACCACAATCGAAACGGAATTCAACTTCACGGAGTAATTTTACTTCAGACCGTTTGTCACCGACGATTCAACGATACTCGGCACTTGACGTTTTATTTATTATTCAATTGTTTATTTAATTGTTCTCAGTCTTGCTGGTGTGTCTTCTTTTTTTTTTTATCGGTGTTGAATTGTTTATCCCTCCACGGAGAGCAAGTTGTGACTCGCAAAGCGCCCGAGAGCTGACTGAGGACTGAGGAAAGAGACCGGCGTAAAGACGACGCCTCAAGTCTCGACGAGACGCATCGCGACGGAGAGGGGAGGGGCGGCGCCAACCGCTCGACCAATCGCCGGAGGCACCCGAACCGCCACGAAGCCAATTGCCCCCACTATCGTTTGACCGGTCGGCATTATTATTTTTTTTTTTCTCATTTTTTTTTTCTTGTGGAGATGTGTGTGTTTGTGGGTCTTTCTTCGAGACAACCCCTTCTTCGAGGACTCGTAAGCCTGTTCGAACCTCCGAATGGAATTGGCAACGGTGGAACCCGGTGTTGCCGGTGCTTTGGGTCTGAAACATGTAAAGATCGGCAGGATTTTTTTTTTTTGTGTCACCTATTCGTGACCGTCATGTGACCGTCGTATGACCGGATTTGCGACTGCGGGATGCAATTGTTATTTTGACAATTATATGTTTGTATTCAATTTTATATTGTATTTTTTGTATTATCATATTTTTTCAGGTTGGGAATATTGATTTGGGATTGTTTATAGTCATCGTTGAAATCGGAAATTACAACTTCTGGTTATGTCATGTCGGTGGTTTTTTTTGGTCGTAATTTTGGTTTAGTTGTTAGTAGTTAACTGGGTGAGTGATTGTTTTATTACTGTGCATTGTGTTGTACAAGAATTCTACAATGGGTTGAGTTATAGAGATAGTTAAGGAAGATAGATATCGAAAAGAGGATAAATGAAAATGGAAATAAGCGCGAGCTCTCAAAAAAGGAAAACCAAGGGGCAAAGGATGAAAGAGAAAATAAAAGACAGACTTTGACGAGTTCGGGATATTTACATGGAAATCCACCGTCATCCGAAATTTATGCCATAGAACAGATCACAATGAAAATACCTCCCCCATCGAAAAATGAAAATTTAAAATTTCATGCACACCTGAAAATTTCTCTACTAAATTTGAATAATATCCAGAAAATCTATTTATTCGAATTCACCCAGAAAAATAATGAAAAACCGAATGAGACAAGAGGAAATTGAAAACCGAGTGAATTAATGAATGAATTATTTTATATTGTTTTTGTTTTAGTGAAAAATGAATTCTTCCCGAAATTATTGAGTTGGTGGATTAAAAAAATATAATTGCAATGGGGCTTTTCTTTTTCAGGGAGATGGAGAAAATGCCCTTGATTTTTACAATTTTTTTTAAAATCAACTTGTAAAAGAAAGAAAAAGTTATGACGGTTGGATAAGCGTTCCACTCGGAGAACGTATCAGACTGAATTTCACGTAGAGTTCCCCTTGCGCCAGCATAATCCACTCTTTTTTCTCAGTATGGAGGAGAGCCTGGGCCCCGACGATTTGTATGTAGTAACATATAAGTACAAACACATAAGCATGTTTGTTAGCATGGCGCTCTCGCATGAATGAAAGACTAGCCTTCTATTCATACGAGCGTAATAACATTGGCCAGCCGCAACTTCTAAGTACTCGTCTCGAGCCTTTTTTATTACACTCCAAGAAAAGAAAAAAAAAATCGGACAAAGATGATGTGCACCATACAAGAAAATATTCTCTGGTCAATATTTCAAATCGTCAACTCTGACAAATCATTTCGCTCTCGCACTGAGAGATAACATTTTTTTTATAGAACGAGATTCTCTCGTTGTGCGATTTTTGTGTGATTTTTTTCCTTCTCTCAATCTCAAAAATTATGTACACCCCCCACCCCCCCATCGATTTATTTTTATTAGAACTTTGATTACATAATATATTGCAGGGATTACGCAAAAATTAGGAGTAATCTTCGATTCAATTGAACTCACAATGAAAGTCTTCGTGGTACAATCGAAATGCGAATTTCTCGGTTGAAGATTGCGATAATCAGGTGAAGAATGTATGGATTCTGATAATTCATTAATTTATCGATATAATGATCGTTACAGGAATTATGAGTGGAATCTTCCTGTTGAGAGA